CCGCATGCGTCACCGCCACCCAGGACAGCGTTTCGGTGCCGCATCGGGAACTCCACCGATGGCTCCAGTGGCACAGGCCGCATGCGTCAACGCCACCCAGGACAGCGTTTCGTGGCCCCACAGGGGGCTCCGCGTAAGGCTCCAGCGGCATAATTAGGCCGCATGCGTCAACGCCACCCAGGACAGCGCTTCGTGGCCCCATAGGGAGCTCCACCTAAGGCTCCAGTGGCCCAGGCGGCGTACGTCAACGCCATCCAGGACAGCGCTTCGTGGCCCCATAGGGAGTTCCACTGAAGGCTCCAATGGCACAGGCCGCATGCGTCAACGCCAGCCAAGACAGCGCTTCGTGGCCCCACAGAGAGCTCCACCGAAGGCTCCAGTGGCACAGGCCGCATGCGTCACCGCCACCCAGGACAGCGCTTCATGGCCCCGTAGGGAGCTCCACCGAAGGCTCCAGTGGCACAGGCCGCATGCGCCACCGCCACCCAGGACAGCGTTTCGTGGCCCCATAGGGAGCTCCACCGAAGGCTCCAGTGGCCCAGGCGGACTACGTCAACGCCACCCAGGACAACGTGTCGTGGCCCCATAGGGAGCTCCACCGAAGGCATGCGTCAACGCCAGCCAGGACAGCGTTTCGTGGCCCCACAGGGAGCTCCACCGAAGGCTCCAATGGCACAGGCCGCATGCGTCAACGCCAGCCAAGACAACGTTTCGTGGCCCCATAATGAGCTCCATCGAAACCGGTACCCACAATGTGGTACTCGCAACTGCGTATGGTTGGGTCCTTCGTCAGGCTAAGTTTATCTGCTTGGTGGCTTGTCGAAACTCGTTCGTTGTGAACGGTGGTATGGTTGAGTCTGCCGTCGCGTCGCGGTGGCGTCGCCAGGAACATCGGTGCCTTTCTGAGGCGTTGCTCTGTCTGCTAGACTCCTCGTCACCCGCTGGGGTCGTCATTGACGCGAACATGTCCTTGTCATTTGACGTTTTCGTGCCCGCGATTATCTTGAGGCCTTTGAATTGGCACACAATGGCCTCTATCTTAGCGTTATCCTGAATGCGCTTGATGGTTCGAACCGGTTTCAAAATCAGTTTGCTCAACGTCCTGGTGGTTGCGTCGGAGTGCGGCGTGCTGCGCTGTCGGTCGATGAACTCTCTTACTGTGCGGTTTATGTGATGTTGTCTTTGTGTGTTTGGCGGCGTGGTTGTGCAGCGTCATGTGACTAGGAACTCGGGATCGAGCTGGAACTTCTGCGGACTGCCAATGCTGAGAGAAAAACCTATAGCAGAGCAACTGCTATCGGAGATATGGTATTCGCAGTGCAAGCACCAGGAGGAGCTTGAGGCCCTCGGGCCAGCGCGCAAAAGTCGAGAAAGTAAGGGCGAGAAGCGACGGGGGGTGGGGTGCGGGGAGGAAGAGTGGGAGGGGAAAGTACGAGAACGACGACCCGTCACAATCTGTTCCTCCGAGCGTCCCACCCTACACGGGTGAAGTGGCATCCGTCCCCCCGCCCGATAAACAAAGGTCGGGAATCAGAGGCCCGGCCAACCTCTGCCGACGCATGACGACAAATCACAATCCTTAGGAAAACAAGCAAGGCAGTCTAAGTGCAAGCGCTGTTTGGAACATGAACAAAGATACCAACGATGCCCAACATGCAAGAACAGTTGCGGGAACCACAGTCAGTTCCCGATGCAATCCGTTGCCGAAATGCGCTGGAAATATAGATCATATATCTGCCACCGTGCCTCTGAGCACGGAGTGGGCGTGTCCTCAGGTCCTTTCTGCCAAATCCCTGGAGCCTCAGTTCCCAATCCTGAGGAGTCTTGAAGGCCCGGATCCGAACTTCTCAAATCTCCCGGGGCTTTGCGCTGTTCCCTGGAGCTCCCCCGCGTCTCCCCGCATGAGTTGTTGGAGCCCAATGGGGGCCACAAGGGCCCCCCAATGCCGCCATGACTGTCCAGGATTGCCCCGAGACGCCCAATGATCGCTCCAAGACGCCCAAGATGGATCAAAGAGGCCTCCAAGAGGACTCCCGAGAGGCAAACATCATTCATGTCGCTTCAGTTCCCAACCATCCTGTGGTGTTGGGCCCTCGTTTTGAAGAGACAGCGCTCCGCGTTCCCACTCCTCCTCCACCTCCCCCTCCTCCCTCTTTCCATCCGCCTCGTCACCTCCCTGCGGTTCACCCACCCAGTACAGCGTTCCGTGGCCCAATAGAGGAAGCTCCACCGAAGGTTCGAGTGGCACAGGCCGCATGCGTCAACGCCACCCAAGACAGCGTTTCGTGGTCCCACAGGGGGCTCCACCGAAGGCTTCAGTGGCACAGGCCGCATGCGTCAACGCCATCCAGGACAGCGCTTCGTGGCCCCACAGGGAGCTCCACCGATGGTTCCAGTGGCACAGGCCGCATGCGTCAACGCCACCCAAGACAGCGCTTCATGGCCCCATAGGGAGCTCCACCGACGGCTCAAGTGGCATAGGCCGCATGCGTCAACGCCATCCAGGACAGCGCTTCGTGGCCCCATAGGGAGCTCCACCGAAGGCTCCAGTGGCACAGACCGCATGCGTCAAAGCCACACAGGACAGCGCTTCGGTGCCCCATAGGGAGCTCCACCGAAGGCTTCAGTGCCACAGGCCGCATGCGTCAACGCCATCCAGGACAGCGCTTCGTGGCCCCACAGGGAGCTCCACCTAAGGCTCCAGTGGCACAGGCCGCATGCGTCAACGCCACCCAAGACAGCGCTTCATGGCCCCATAGGGAGCTCCACCGGGGGTTCCAGTGGCATAGGCCGCATGCGTCAACGCCATCCAGGACAGCGCTTCGTGGCCCCATAGGGAGCTCCACCGAAGGCTCCAGTGGCACAGGCCGCATGCGTCAAAGCCACACAGGACAGCGCTTCGGTGCCGCATCGGAAGCTCCACCGAAGGCTCCAGTGGCATAGGCCGCATGCGTCAACGCCAGCCAGGACAGCGCTTCGTGGCCCAACAGGGAGCTCCACCGAAGGCTCCAGTGGCACAAGCAGCATGCGCCACCGCCACCCAAGACAGCGCTTCATGGCCCATAGGGAGCTCCACCGGGGGCTCCAGTGGCATAGGCCGCACGCGTCAACGCCACCCAGGACAGCGCTTCGTGGCCCCCCAGGGAGCTCCACCGAAGGCTCCAGTGGCACAGGCCGCATGCGTCAACGCCACCCGCGCGGAGCTGGAGTAAATTGCAGGGAATTCCAACACAAGGGCGCGATTCTTGAATACATTGCAAGCGAGTCTCCAGCGAGAGCGCGACTCCAGAGCACCGAGAGAGCGATTCCTGAATACATTGTAAGGAAGTCATTTTTTGGGGGGGGGCTCCACGCCGCCACTCCAGATCCCAGCCGAAGCTGGGAAAAACTCGAATGCTACGGAGGGAGGAGCATCCGAGTGCAAAAGGCTCAAGCTACTACCTGCGCGAGACTGCACAACGCGAAGCTAGCAGCGAGCGCGAAGACCTCATTGAGGCTCGCGGCGGGTGCTGGCGGAGCGCCCACTAGGAGGCCGAGAGCAGAGACCCGCAAAAGCCCCGAAGGGCGGGCAGGCCAACGGCATGCGGAGGGAGTGCACGTACTCCCTCCCGCGCAGACCTAAAGGAAGTCCCAAGCGAGAGCGCGATGCCTGAGTAAAGTGCGAGGAAGTCTCTGGCGGGAGCGGGGGTCCTGGCTAAATTGTGAGGAAGTCTCAGCCAGGAGTCTTTGTTGTAATCCGGGGGTCAGGCGTTCAGTTTGAGCCTAGTGACTTGCCAGGCTAGAAAAACAGGGTGCGAACCCCGAGGGAGGCACTTCAATTCAAAATACAGTGGTCACACGAGGTGGTATCAACAACAATTATTGTTCAGTAGTGAGAGTTCAGCAACAACAGCCGCAACACCAACATCACCAACAACAAGAGCACAATAAACAACCACGCCAACAACAACACCAACAACAACCATATTGACAAACCACGAGCAACCAAACAAACGAACAACCAAACAACACACAACACCAACACCAACACCAACACCAACACCACCAACAACAACACTAACAACAACAGTAACACAACACACCAGCAGCAACAGCAGCAACAACAACACCAACAACACCAACAACAATAATCCGCATCGCGGAATCCCACTTCAGCCACGTACCCAGTGACAACGAATGACCGTTCGACCTCCTAACTCTGACCAAGTAGATGCGCGTGCAAATTGCACTGTTGGCGTGAGGGTCTGACAGCGGAGGCGTCACACGCACAAGCATAGAACATGCATAACGCGCAGATGCCACAAACGAAAACGCAATAAGCCCTACAACCGAATAGCACACCGAACACCGGCTGAGAAACACACACGACAACAAAGCTACACAACAACAACAACACCAACAACAACAACGACATCACCAACACCAACACCAACACCAACACCAACACCAACACCAACAACAACACCAACACCAACACCAACACCAACACCAACATCAACAACAACAACAACAGCAACAGCAACAGCAGCAACAACAACAACAACACCAACAACAACAACACCAACAACAACAACACCACCAACAACAACAACAGCAACAGCAACAGCAACAGCAACAACAACAACAACAACAGCACCAACACCAACAACAACAACAACAACAACAACAACAACAACACCAACACCAACACCAACACCAACACCAACACCAACACCAACACCAACAACAACAACAACATCAACAACAACAACAACAACAACAACAACATCAACAACAACATCAACAACAACAACAACAACAACAAACCCAACAAACACATCAGAAAACGGAACAACTCAATCACGCACAACTAACAACCGACCCGATCAGAGAAACCTACCCCCCCTGCTGCTAATCCTTCTCCCCCTCCTCATCCATCCATCCATCCATCCATCCATCCATCCATCCATCCATCCATCCATCCATCCATCCATCCCGCCACAACTGGTCGACCGCGGCGCCTGAATCACGAGCTCCTCCCACTCCGGGACTAAACGGGCAATCTCCGCCGCCGACGCCTCCCCTGCAGGCGCCAGAGGAGCGAGGAGGGAAAGGGGAGAGGGGAGGAGGATGAGCAGGTAGAGATTTTGTCAATATCAATGGCAACTGCCTCGATAGAAGTGGGGTGTGGCGAAACCACTCAAGGGGAGTCAGTGGGAAGCAGGACTGGACCTGACCAGTCCTGGACTCCCCGTCCGTGAAATTGGAGTAGAACTGGCCGAACGGGAACAGAGAGTGGATTACCCGAGGTCCGTCACGCACGGCAGCTGCAGTGTCCTGACGGCGCCCACCACCTCGATAATCACCTTCTTCGACTGGTCCTTGCGCGAGGGCACTGGGACCCAACCGCTAGCCTCAAGTAGCTGTGGTCGTCGCGAAGGTCGATCTTGGCCCCATCCACCTAAAGCTCGACGCCAGGGTACAGGTACGAAGCCACCTTGGCGCCCACGTCGCTGTCTTTGGGCAACGCCACCTTGGCGCCTGAGATGGTGAATCGTAGCATGTCCTTCTGTGGGCATCCCTAGCACTCCAACCCCGTCAGAGCCATCCCCGGGGGGGGGCACCCCGATGGCAGGAAGTGGCAGCGCCTCGCCCACCTGAACCTCAGCTGCTTTCACCGGCGGCTGCGCGGGCCAAGCGCAGGCCTGCGGCCAAACCGTAGCACCGCTCATGCAGCGCACGCCAGCCTCGCGACGGGCAGCCAACAGCACAAATGGCGAAGCCTCGGCACGCACACCGCCTGTACCACGTCCCAACCGAGGGCCTGCCGCCGCTGAAGACAGTGCCGCTGAGGACGCGCCCGAGAGACCGCCAGGCGGCACTCGGCGCACATGCCAGGCGAGGCGCCGAGGGAGCCCTTATCGAGCCCCCTCAACTCACTGGGCCGCCACACAGGCGGGCAGCCCCCCGTAGTCATCCTCCAGCGGCGCCCTCCAGCGCGACCACTGGCGCATGCCAAGCCAGCAGGTTCGTCCGCAGGACGGTTTGAGCCAACATGGCTACTTACGGACGACGACCAGGGAGGGATGGAGGGAGGGAGGAGCGAGGAGGCGTGGGAAGTGGAGGGAGGAGGCCTCCGAGTCACCCGAGGTCATGGGGTGATCTGGCCCCTCGATCCCAACGAGTAGGGAGCCACCGGGAATCCTCGCTGCCCACGCTCGGGGGAAACCACAAATCTGCTGGGCAAAACCTGGCTGCACCAGCCAGAAGATGCACCCCTTGGCTCCAGCTGAGCCTCCTGGCGGCCGCTGGACGAGGCCTTCCCGAGTCAGAAACTGGCCAACACGGACTCCGCAGGGGCAGGGGCCGACTCGGAGGGGCGCTGACAGAGCGCGGCCTGTCCAGCCCTCGCCGGGCTGCGCCGCTTCCATCTCGTTCAATCAACACCTACTCCTTGACGCACCCACAGACGTGCTGATAGGACGGGCTGGGCGTGTCGCTTGAGACTTCCCCACCACTTAAGATCCCGAAGCCTGGAATTGTACCGTATACATGGCTTGATCAGGAATCAGTTTTAAACTGTGGCCCCCATCTCGAAGAATTCAGAGGCTCCGTGCGCCGTTACAGCAAGCTCGGCGTCTGGGCAACTTCCAGCAAACACCAGCGACACACCAGTCCGGTCATATAGCATCCACGATGACAAAGTGTGACCTCGGGACATGTACGAACAAGCTGACAACGCCAGACACGAGAGGAGGAGGAGGAGGAGGAGGAGGAGGAGGAGGAGGAGGAGGAGGAGGAGGAGGAGGAGGAGGAGGAGGGGTAGCAGCAGGAGGAGCAGGAGCAAGAGCAGGAGGAGCATGAGGAGGAGAGGAGGAGGAGGAGGAGGAAGAGGAGAAAGAGAAAGAGGAGGAGGAGGAGGAAGAGGAGACGGAGGAGGAGGACGAGGGGAAAAAGCAACAGCAGGCGACACGACCATAGCGCCGCGCACACTCGTCCTAGCAGTTTGCACGAGTTGCAGGAATGAAACACCAATCGTTCTCAACATGTGGCTCTCGCCTTAGCGCCGCGAGCATCCCTCTTCAAAGCTTGCAACGGTTACTCGGATGGAGGGCGGCTTCCCTTGTAAATGCGGGTCTCGCCTTACCGCTGCGCATAGTTGTCCGTCTCGAAGTGGGGCTCTCGCTATTAATTTCTTGGCGGAGCGCAAGAGGGGGGTGGGGGGAGGGGGGAAGGCTTCTTAGAAGCACCCCTGCTTCTTAAAGGCGCGGGCCTTACATCTACAGTCAAGGCCCGCGCATTCTAAGAAGCAGGGGTGCTTCTCAGAAGCCTTCCCCCTCCCCCCACCGGTCCTCTGCGCGTGGCCGAACTTCTTCAAATGTAGAAGACTACGTAGAACATTTGAACGTATCGAACTGCTGTGCGAACTGAAGAGGGCTCCTGTTTACAGTGTGAGCCCTCGCTTCAGACGTCCTAGGCTTTCATGGTCATTCACACAGATGGAGGCGGTCCTTTCTTTAAAAGTTGGGATGTCGCTGGATACATCTTTGAATTGTTTGATCTGACCTTTCGGAAAGCGTGCATGGACTTATGAGGAGGGGACCTGAAACTGCATGTATTGCAACATCGTTGACAAATGTTGGGTTTACTCGGGTCCTGCTCCTCCTAGTTCTCCACATCCTCCTGCTCCTCGCCCTCCTTCAACTCCGCGCTGTGATGTCGATCCTCACCCCTCACCTTCCTATGCCTAAGATTCCGCCTCCCACCCCCTCGCTTCCCGTCCCCGCGGCTCATCATCACCACCATCATGATCGCCAGCATCACCATATTCATCACCACGATCACCATCGTCGTCGTCTTCGTTGTCGTTGCCGTCATCATCATCATCATCAGCATCATCAACATCATCAACATCATCAGCATCATCAGCATCATCAGCATCCGCATCAACATAATCAAGCAACTAATTAGTACGACAAATCCATCAGTTCAGTCATCACCATCACCATCGTCACACCCATAGCGGTCGCCATCACCACCGCCATCATCCTTAGCATCATCATTCTCATAAGCATCACCCGCAGCATGATCAGCAGCATCGCCACCACCATCACCACATCCACCATCATTGTCATCGTGGTGATCATCACACTCATCCCTCTGCCTCCTCTGACTCGGCCTTCGCCTTGTCCTCCCCGTGCACCTTCGCACTCCAATCTTCCAACTCCTCTCCTCCTCATCCTCCTCCCTTGTGTCTCTGCCTCTTGCGATTTCGCATATTTCTCATGCACTTCCACATGCTCCCTCCTCTTCCTCCTTCTTCCCCTCCTCCGCATCCGCAACCTTCACATCAGCGCCTCCTGCGCCTCCGCCTCCGATAACTCCGCCAATTTCCCCTCCTCCTCCTCCTCCTCCTCATTCATCGTCCGGTCCTCCTCCTTCTCCCTCTCCTCCAGCGCCGCCTCCCTTCCTCGATCCCCCATCATGCACAACGTCATCATCCTTACGACCAGCATCATAATCACCATCATCATCATCATCATCATCATCAGCAGCAGCAGCAGCAGCAGCAGCATCACCATCATCACCATAATCAGCATCATCATCATCATCATCATCATCAGCATCATCATCATCATCAGTATCATCAGTATCATCATCATCATCATCATCGTCAGCGACAGCATCATCAGCATCATCATCAGAGCACCATCAGCACCATCACCATCAGCGTCGTCGACGTCGTCATCACCACTATCTTCAGCTGCATCTTCATCGTCATCTTCATCCTACTCTTAATCTTCATCTGCATCATCACTATCATACTATTACGGCTCGTCTTCATGATAGTCTCCAGCATCCTCATCAGCTCAAGCCTCAAAATCATAAGCTTCATCGACGTAAGCATCGGCCGCATCATCAATACCAACATCATTATTATCATCCTCACCTTCAGCCCCCGAATCATCTTCCCACGACTCCCGCTGTTCCCTCCTCGCCATCCTGCCCCCACCGCAGCAGCAGCTACCCTGGCACCGACATCCGCATCATCATGATCATGATCATGATCATCATCATCATCACAACCATCACCCTCCCCACCCTCATCGTCCTCATCATGATCATCTCCATCGGCGTCGTCAGCGTCGTCATTACAATTATCATCTTCTTCTTTTTCGACCTCTTCATCGCCATCATATTAGAACTCGTCTTCATAATCATCTTCATCTCACCTCATCAGAACATCCTAAAACTCATAGGCACCCCCAGCATCATCCTCCACAGTATCATCATCAGTACCAGCATCATCACCATCATCATTAACCTCCGAATTGTCCTCCTACGTCTCTCAATGATCCCTCGTCGCCATCCTGATCCTGCCGCAACAGCAGCTACCTCAGCATCGACATCCGCATCATCCTCATAACTCTCACCATCCTCATCATCATGGGCATGAGCATGATCATCATTGGCATCATCATCATCATGACCCTAAACTGCACCACTGTCATTATCACCACCACCATCATCATTTCATCATCATTTCATCATCATCGTTGTCGTCGGCATCGTCACCATCGTCAGCGGCATTCGGCTCGTCACTGTCCTCAGCTTCATCATCCTCAGCACTGTCTTCATGCTCATCATCTTCCTTGTCCCCCTCCTGTTCCTCAGCATTCTCATCACCACCATCATCACCATCATCGCCATCAGCATTATAATCGTTGTTGCCGATGTCATCATCAACATGATCGTCATTATCACCAGCAAGCACGGTCATCACCATCATCATCATACCATCATCAACACCATCACCGCTACCGCAATGACCACTACTATCATTCTCAACTTCGTCATCATCTTCCCTGCGTGTCAACACCGCCCCTGCGTCCTCCACCTCGTCGGGGCTCTCGATTTCCTGCGGCGGAAGCTGAGCTGACGGGCGCATGGAACGGGGCAGGGGTTAACCGAGGACGGAACAACACGCGGGGAACGAGGAGTAAGGAGAGAGGCGTGAGCAGGAAGGAAGGAGGGAGAGGAAGAGGAAGCGGACTGGTGTATACCAAAGACTCATCAACGATATTGCAATAGACCCTCCAACCAAATTGACGACGACCGCTTGAAAACCCTGGGCCGTGCCAGACCACCACTCGTTGGACTTCAATGCCGCGAATCAGCGCTGTTGTGGCGCCGTGGCGATCCTGAACCGCGCCAAAACACCGTTCCTTTCCCCCCCCCGGCCCCAAATTCCCCCATCAGTCTGACGGGAAACTTCGCCCGCCCGCCTACGTCAGACCACAAGGGCAGTTATCGCCGCGTGGCGGAGAATATGCAGGCTCCCGGGATCGCGCTAGAGCTCGGGCCTCTCCGACCACCAGCAGCCAGCCCTCGAACGGGGCGTTGTCGAAGTATTTCCGCTCCAAGTGGGGGTCGCCCGCTGAATCCCAACAGATCGCGAAAGCCATCCACGCGACGCTCAGCAGCTCGAGAAGCGTGACAGAAACCAGGACGAGACGAAGGCGAGCAAGATGAGGAATATCGAGATGGGCGAGCGCGTCCAGCGAATCGAGCGACTCAAACGAAACCGCAAGCGCGTGCCGCAAGTAGAGTATCTCAAGCAAAATGGGCAGGACCGGGAGGATACGAACTCAAACTCAAGCATGGAGGAATCCAGGAGCACGGCGGGGAAGTTGAACGCACAGAAAATACTGTCAACCTTGCCGAACAGACAATCCAATGAGGAAGAAAACAACCCAGCACTCATACTGGTGATGGCCTGCGCGGGCAGCCGCCATAGACGATGAGGCGAAGAGCGAGCACGGCAACCACTCAGGCAACGGTGGGCACCCAGGGCCCCTTTGTCAGGCAGCCGCCCAGGCCGACGCATCGTGTCATCCCAACTCCAAGGGGATGTCCGCCGCCGCGTAATTACCCCAGCGCCTCGACCTTTTTCGCCAGGTCGGCGTACGCGACGCCGCCCTGGATGAGCTCCCAGTCCTTGTCCTCGATGCCGAGTGTTATCAGGCGCTGCGCTTTCATTTGAAATCTGGCAAGTACCAGCTCGGGCGAGGCGCCTTCCTGCTGCCGGCACTTCATCTTCCCCAGCACCTCTATGCAGGCACAGCTGTGCCGAAGTTTGTGCGCCAGCACGGGTGCAGGAGCTCGCCGCCCCCCGGCAGCAGGGGCGCGCTCAGGTTCAGGCTCATCACCGGTCAAAGGCTGCTGCCCGTTCGGCGCGCTGCTCTGGGCCATCCGCGGTCGTGATCATGGGGCTCTGCTCGAAGCTCGCGGCGAGGGTCAGCGGCGCATCCTCCCGCTCGGTCGTGATCACGGGCTCTTGCAAGGAGTGCGCGGTGACGGTCGCCGTCGCCCGCGGCTTCTGGTCGAGCCGCCGCGTCCTCCCGTTCGAGGGCGCGGTGGTGATCGGTGCCTCCTCCTGCTCCGGCTCCTCCGCCTCCAGCTTCTGCTCTTCGGAATCGTGGCCCGAGCATGGCAGCTGGGGATCTATTGCGCCGCCAAACTGCAACTGCGGGCGTGTTGCGCCGCCTCGCTGAGGGAGATTGCCAACGCGAACAACGCGACTCCCTCTGGCCACCAGGTCAAGAAGGGGTCCGCGGCTCGGAGGGGGCAGGCACGTCCCCGGTGTCCGATTTGTCGATCAGCACGAGGTCGAAGGTCACGGGTTCCTGCGCGATCGGCGACGGGGCCAGCGGGGCCATCTTGCTCCTGAGCGTGATCACCGGCCTCTGCTCTGGCGGCATTACGGCCGCGTGGTCGAAGTCGGCCGTCATGAGCGATGGCTCCGCCTCTCGAGGGGCGGCGGTCAGCGGCTCCTGCTCGGACGGCGAAGCGGTGACGATAGACATCTGCAGCTTGGTCACTGTGTGGCAGCAGGAGCGGCAGCGAATGCTGTTTCCACTTGAGCCCAAACAAGAATCCGGATCGCAAATCCCACTGGGCCCCCACGAGACCTCATGGGGCCCTTGCGAGGAGACTACGACCGCTAAACCTAGATCGGTACGAGAGGCCAATATCCACACTGGTCAAACTTTCTCGTAGGTTTAGCTGGGGTGCCCTCGCGCCCCTCCCTCCCCTGTCGGCTCGAGATTGCTTCATCTCGAGGACGCCCAGTGAAACCAAACGGCAGCGTGCGGCGGGACATCGGAGGACAGATATCTATAGATATATATATAGAGAGAGAGAGAGAGAGAGAGAGAGAGAGAGAGAGAGAGAGAGGACATTCGGGGACCCCCTGGCCAGACTTCGAGACATCCTCACCTTGGACGAACGATGGCCAGGGTATTTCCTGACGGGCCCGGGCTAGGACACGGGCCGAGGTGGCCTGGGGGCGCCCCTGCTGTCTTGGATCCGCCTTTCGCTCCACAAGCTCGCTGGCCTCGTCTACTAAAAGCAGTCTGCCAGACGCCATCAGCTCAAACTGCGCGGCGTTGACATGTGTGGTGTCGTCTTTGGTTAGTGGGTCGACCGGCATCTTGGCATGGGGCGCCCAGCGGGTAGCCCCAGACCTCTCTAAAGACTCGCAGATAATGGCCAGGTCCAACGCTGTGCGCCTATCCTTCGCGGAAGCCATCCCGTCTTTTACTAGCGTGTCGTGCGCGCTCTTGGCGTCGGCAACGTGCGCTTGCCGCTCTCGGTGGCCCAGGCGGCAGTCTTGGCGAAGAGCAATTGTAAGGGGGAGATGGCGCGCGAGCATTCGGGCATATCTACGTCCTGGTACACGGCATCTCTGTATAACACCTGGGGAAACTCCACCTCTGCCACCGCGGCAGCCAGAGCTAGAGCCCCCCCAGCAAGCGTAGAAGGAACCCGGCGTGTCAACTTGGAGGATCCCCAGCCTAGCAGGGATGCTCTAACAGCTTTGTTCTCCAACGCGCTGCGATCTGTGGCAAGCACCATCCAGGCCCCTTGGGTGGGGTCCTCCGGGAGCCCTCTGAGGCCCCGGAGATCCCCGCTAGCGGCACCCCCCCTCCCCCCGCGCCCGAGAACGTGAGAAACGTCACCCAGGTCGGGTCTAACTTCCAGATCGACAGACCCCTCGAGGCAGTAGATCTGTCGAACCTGCTTGTTCGCACGCGAGATATCCCAAGCAGTCGGAGACTTCAACCGACTGGCCAAGATGGACGCACCCCCCGCAGCCTCGGGCCTGGCCCCCCTCCCAACCCAGTTGATCTTGTAGATCAGGGATCGGAGACCCTGAAACTCGGGGGCCTCTAGGGGGCTATCCCTCTGGGCCAAGCGTCCTGGAGACAGATTAAGGGGCCGTAATTCATCCAATATAAACTTTTCTTGGTCCATTGTGATCCGCGCGGGGGTATAGGTGAGACGCCTGCCGGCGTGCTCCACTGCTCCTGCCTGGAGGTCCTTGCATATGCCCCGGACTTGAAGCGGGCCTCCAGGGGTTGCCTGGTCTGGGCGCGTATCTCGGGAGAGGCCGAAGCCACGGGGGAATCGTCCACCTCTATCAAAATCATGTTCTTGATCGCTCCTTTCTGGCTCCTCTAGGTCCACCAGCAGGGCCCCGGGAGACACCGACGATAGTTGTTGTCTGCTAGGTACTTCGTCACGGTGCGCCTCCAAGAAACTGGCGCATCATCCAACCCGTGCACGCGCGCGAGAAGCTCTATAAGGGCCCCCTCCTCTACCCCAACTCCATGGCAAGGATCAACGTATATGGGTCCGCTTGATCTTTGCATGGGGTCGGACTGGGTAAACGCATTTCAGACGTCCGCGATGTCTCCTACCATCTCGAAGTTCATCTTGACTTGGAGGAACAGCAGCATCGCGGTCGTCTGGGGCGTTGGGGAGAACGGTGAGAGGGATCCAGTGTCGGGGCCCTGATGCCCGTGTACGCGCCAACGAGACTTGGCAATCGGCTCCGCAAAGGTCCCCTCCTGAGGCTTCCATCTCTGCACCATCCGGGGGGGCGCGATACGGTCAGGCATCGCCTCCCGAATAGTTATGGCAGCCTCGGGGGGCATGATCTTCACAGCGCCGGACGAAGCCATCCTTCGCCATTCGGAAGCATCTGAGATCTCAAACTTCGCCCTTTCCGCGGGAGGGAGCTTAGACCACGTGATATCCCCTCCTCGTCCGGTGGCGAAGACCTCATCTTGCGCTGGCGATCATTCGAGTTGAGTCTCGCCGTCGGGGCGAGGAAGCACCCAGAAAGAGGCATGCTCGGAGTCGCCGCGGCGAGGAGAGCGCCCTCGCTCCCTACTAGGCTCGGAAGACTGTCCTTGCTCGAGTCTGCGCTCGATCTCTTGGACGCGTTCTGAGACCGACATTCTTTCTCTAGAGCCCGACAGCCCAGGGGGGCTCTCGAGGTCAGGACTCCCTGCCTCGACGTCCGGAGTGATCCCTGGATCGAGAGCTTCCTGTCCGGGAGGAAGCTCCAGTCTCAGACGCTTGGCATCGGAGGACTCGGCGTGGGCGCTCTCTTCCCGACTGGTTGCCCAGGACCTGGGGGCCTCCCGTGCCCGTCGAATGCAGCTCGGTACGTCGTCAGGCTGTCGCAGGGGAGTCTGGGTGAATCTGGACATTCCAGACCTCTCACCGTGGCTTTCCCCTCGCGCTTGAGGGCGAGAGAAATCCAGCGGTGGCGAGGAGGTCCCCGGCGGCTCCGCCGCCGCGGCAATGCCCGCCTCGGAGACCTCGAGAGGTGAGGCTGGAGCTTCTTCGGAGGGCTCTGCCTCCGAGATGGATGGAAATCGAGTGGACGGTCGAACCTCAATCGACCTGGCCGGCTCGGCGGTCGACCCCCTCCTGGACCGGGGGGCCGGCACCCTGGAGCGTAACCCTCCTCCTTCCAGGACCTGGGGCTCCTCGGGACTCCCCTCCACTCGAACCTGCGGTCTGGGAATAGCGGGCTGAGGCTCGCCTCCGACGTGGTCGGGCCTG